GACCATGGCACCTGGAAGAACTCAGAAGATGCCCAGCTCCTCCATTACGCCATGCCAAAGCCTAACTCGGAGGCAGCAAACTCCCTAAGTGAATATGGACGCATTCCCTTCCCACAAGCGTGGGTACTTGATAATTTGTTAAAGACACACCCCATTTCCTCACGCTTTGCAGCATTGTTTCAGATGTAGGGTCACCCTCTTCTCACAGGAAGCTCATTCCCATCTCGACCTTGCCATCCAGCACTGTCCTGAGTCCTGAGCCCCAAGGGGGACTATGGAATGGCCCTTGCCCCTCTCCGAGTGATTCTTTTTTAGCTAATTGTTTCTATCCATTTATATCCATGGTCTTCTGGTACTGAATCCTCTTTACCAACTTTCCTTACTTCTTTTTTGTCAAGGACCATTCTATATAATTGTTGGGGAAAAATCATTTCCTAATTAAATTGTGATTAGGGCTTGTCGGAGGCCTTGCCCTGTGGGCCATAGTTCCGTGCACCTCTGGTCACAGTGGAGACCTCAATGGTCCTGTGACACTGTGATGTCCCAGGGCAAGATTGCATCAGTTGAAGACTTCCTGGTTTCTGAGAACCCTGTAGTAATAAAAACAGCGGTTCATCTTGGGGAGACAAACTCCTTCCTAGCTTTCTGCCTCTCTCCTACCTTTCTCTTCAACATAAAGATCCTCATCACCACAAGGCCACCTATGCCCTTCGAGCCATCCAAATTGGTCCCCATCAGTATAAGACCTTATCAGTATACATCCAATAAACAATGGCTATCTCTGAGTGTCTTTGCCTCTGCCCACCTGAGCCACTGATGTCCCAGCTCCCCCTGTCATGCATTACTAAATCTGTCTGTTTCTTATTTCATCCTTTCACCATACCCCTCATACAGGAAGCTGAGAATCTTGGCTAGATCCCTCACACTTTTTTGCTTCCACATCACCAGTTCTCCTCTTAAAAATCTGTTGGGGGGCCGGGGAGATGGCTCAGTAGAATAAACGCTTCCCTGGCAAGTGCAAGGGCCTGAGTTCAATCCCCGGTTCCGAAAAAAAAAAAATCTGTTGGTGCTCCTTCATCTGCTCCTCCCTTAATTGCCCATCCATCCACCTGTCCTTTTATCCTTCCTATGCATTTTTCAATCAGCCTGTCCACCCCTGGACAGACCTGAGGATAGGGTATGAAGACAGGGAAGAGGTCCACAAGATAGCTGCTCAATAGGCTTGGTAGCAACACAACAGGGAAACTGAGGAGTTAAGGCAGGACTCCCCACTCTGCCCTACCCCAGGCTAAGGAGGAGCAAGCCATATTCCAGCCTTTCCTGAGGCTACTACATGGTCTTTATCACTTTTCCATGCCTGGAGATCCCCTGAGGAGTCCCCCTTGCCCAACTAAAAACACCCAGCTAGCTGCCCCATCACCTTCACTATAACTCTCACATCTACCTCCATGCTGCCCCAGGGGCTCTGTCATCACTAAACTGGACTTGGTCCTAGGCTTCAGCCAGTGTGCTCCTTTTTCTGGACTGGCTCCTCTCAGTTCCCTTTGTGGTCAGTGCTATGAACCTCTCAGCTCTTTGGTGGGTGGGGCTAGCCTTGGACATGTAGGCATGATTTGCTCCTGGTCATGCATGGTTTGCCCAGGCTGGACAGAACAGTAGCTCCAGGTAGACATTCCTTGTGTTTATCTGCTGGAGAATGGGTTTGGGCAAGTGAGGGCTCTTCAGAAGCAGGGCAAAGTTGAGATGGGAGACAATACAGGCTCCAGAGCAGCCCTCTCTGAACAGGCTACCTTTCCTTATTATCTTGGCAGCATAATCCAGAACTGGAGCCCTGGCCTTCTCATTCCTGCTGTCCCCAGCAGGCCACTTCCTATACCAACATATGCTTCCAAATAGCAGATAAGGTCAGGGGCCAAAGAGCCAAAACCACTCAGAGAGGTCAGTACAGGCCTACTTGTCCCCAGAGAGAGACACTTGAAGGGCTAGCCACTCACAATTCAGTTACCAGGCTGGGGACCATTCAAGGCCTTTTATTATCATCAAGTAAAATGTAAATGAAAATCTAAAGGTAAAAGGTGAAATAAATCTATAAATTTAATTTTTCCGATTAAAGAGCCCAAACAGTCCAATTTTTAAATTTTTATTCTCCCATGCTCCCTCTATTTTTATGTTTTAAAATGATGAAAACACTAGAATATGTGAGTATATGCAGCCTGCCAAAGCCAAAGCACTATCATCTTATTCTCAGCAATGACCTCCAAAGAGTCTTCTAGCTTCCTTTCAGCACCGCCACCCCTTCTCCCCAACGCCTACAATGGACCAAAACTGTGCAGAGCTTTTTGGTGCACTCTTATCCTTTTCCAAAAGCCCCATACAGGGACAATGCTGTGCATTTATTTCAAATCCCAGCCCTACCATGGTGACGTGGGTGAATTTTCAACCTGAACTGGATGGAGTTCATAACCTGAGTTACGGGGATGAGGGGGAGGGGGAGTGGTAGCTTCTTTTCTTCTGATTAGACACCTAACACTCTGCTTTCCATCATTTCCTCAAGAAATGATCAAAGATTAAGGAAACGGACATGTCAATAACCCTGATTTACACACTTCATGAAGTAAAGATATACTAAAACTTCACATTGCATCCCATAAATAAGTGCAGTTATTAGATACCAATTAAGAAAAAACTCCATCTTCAGGTCCAACTTAACCCCAGCTCACACTAGAGCATAAGTGACTTAACATTTATATTTTTGTTTGTTCTTTGTAGTACCCAGGATTAAACCCAGGGCCTTCTCACTGAGCTATATCCCTAGTCACTTATTTATTTGGTTGGTTGTTTATTAAGCTGAGTCTCCTTTAAAAAACAAAAGCACTGCAATAGTCCTTATAACTAAGCTATTCCCTCTAGGTACAATGAGAATCACCATTTAGTTAGTGGGGGTGGCTGGAGTGGCTGCCTCAGTTTGATTGAGGTACCCCTCAAGACCTTTCACCCAGAGCTTGCACTACATTAACAATTGACACAAATGCTCGTTTTCCAAGTTGGTTTTAAAAGTTCAGCTAAACAATAAGAAATCTCAGCTGGCCATGGCTCTGAGTGTATAGAGCCTCACATCAAAAGCCTTCACTTCCTTTTCCTTTTCCTCAAGCCCCCATACACAGAGTTACCATAAATGGGGGCTTCCTGTGTGCTCAGCAGCACCCCCCAAATTTGTAAAGCATTATCTTCTCTTTTGGGTAGTTTCTTAGACTAAGTTTCTGAGACTTGGCCAGATAAATGAGGTGAAACAAAAGTTGACCCAACTAAGGACCCTAAGGTCTAGAAAAATTAGTACTCAGACCAAAGAAAATCAGATTTCATTTTACCTCTTTTATTTACAAGTTTTAAATATCTCTAACAGTTAGAAAATCAGTATCAATTATGAACAATGGTATGCAGTTTAAAATACAAATGCCAGTAATTATTAAAGAACACGGTTAATAATTATTCCAAGAAAATGCCTGATAAGTATTTTCCAGGAGGCAAGTTAGACAGCAAGTGCCCAAGAAGGCAAGGACAGAGTCCCGGTTGGCTCAGGGTTGGTTATGCAGCAGCGCAAACACACATTCCCCTTAGGTCACGCACGCGGCAGCTTGCGTCACTAGCACTGACACCAGCCTGGATCTCCAGCTCCCAGGGTACTCAGTGCATTGTGGGCCGCAAGAGTCACATTTCAGAGACAAATGAACCACTTTACAATGAGGCTAGGATGGCTCTGCTCCAGGATACTGTGGTTAACCTGGGAAGTGAAGGCTTCCTAAAGCCATCAAACAGATACGTCTGATGGACAAGAGTTTAGCCAGACTCATGCTGAACAATGTTTTTGTTCCACATAATTATACTCTTAACAAACGTTCAGCTTGTTTGTATTTCACTTATCTTTAAAATATCCCAAGTCGATTATGTCCCAATCAAAATTTACCCCGTGTGCCTAACATTACAGATCTTTTTAGGCCACATGTACTGGAAACATGCCTATACATTAACATACTTCAAACTTATACTTTAATCATAATAAATTAGCTTTATGTTATAAACAACATCTCAGAAAGTCAAATCTCAGTAACTTGATAACAATTTTAAATTAGAATAGAATACCAGAATTGTATTATCTATATATAAAATATCTAAATTATGCCAATATTATTAAATTTTATTACTTAAAATCATAAATACATAATCTTAAGCACCAAAGCACACTTACTTCAAATGTTATATCTACAATATTAAATGGTCAACATCATTTTAAAACTCAATTTAAAAAGTCTTAAAAACGAAATCACTATATAAAATGATGAGTGCTTTGGAAGATCGGACAAAGACCACTAACCTTTTTTGCAACTGTAGCGTCCTAAGCAGTAGCCCATGTGCTTCAGGAAGGCCACTGACAAGAAGCGTGGCCAGGGAAAGACAGCTGGAGTTTAACCAGAAGGCGATGCTCCCTGGAGCATTCAAGAAAAGAGCTGAGAGTTCATGCAGAAAAAAAGGCAGACAACAAACAAGCCTTTCTTCTCTCTCAATGTACCAACTAGATGGCAGGAAAATCTATTAGGCTGAGAAAAAACAGATACACTTGAAAAAACAGAACACAGGTGGGAAGACTGTTCTCTCAACTGCTGCACAAGTTACTGAACTGCATACATGTACGGCTCATGCCAGGCTCCAAGGGTACTCCAGGGTGCTGGCAGGAAAAACAAAGGGACAGAAAATGTCAGTCAAGTAGAGCCCCTCAGTTTCAAGAGCAAACCTTTATGCTAAGCCTAAGAAAATGGTGGTGATTCACATTCTGAGTTAAAATCTAAGAGATCAGAAGGAATAGTAATGATTTTAGAATAAATGGACCAAGGTTTATTTAAATACCCAAAAGATTGAAAAATAAATAAATAAATAAATACCCAAAAGATTTTTTTTGGGGGGGGGGGTACAGGATCTTGCTATGTAGCCTAGGTTGGCCTTGAACTCGAAATCTACCTGCCTCAGCCTCAATCCTAGAGTGCTGGGATTATAGACTTGTGCCACCACACCCAGCTCCAAAACAGGAATTTCTTAAACGAAACCACACAACTAAAACAAGTAAACCGAAAAATATACAGAGAAGCATCCCCAATATAGACATATCCCAACTCTTGACTGAATTTCATCTGGAACAGATAAAAATAGAGAAGCCAAATGTAGTTGCTTGCTTTTTCTTTCCAATGGATGGCATGAGGGAGCAAGAGAAGATCATCTAACGTAGTTCCATTACACTGAGGCATTCTGCTTGATTTGGCACATGAAACTAAATCTGTGGGTTTGAGGATTGTATTTGTGTTTCCCTTTAGGGACACATTTCCTGTTGTTCAAATGCCATAGCTGCTCACAAGAAAATTCATCCCCCAAAAAGGAACCATGTGGGTTAATTTTTAAGTAAATACAAAGGCTCTATAACCCATGGAAACCGTTACAAGTTATGTTTTTATTTTTGCCTCAACTCCTGTAATAAATATGGTCTAATTCCTGAGGAGCAGTAATGGCAATTTATCGGTCATGGGTAGGTGTTCCATCTGTTAAGTCTCATGCCTCCCATCTCCCCACTGCCTCACAGGAAGCAGACAGAACCTCAGCTCCTAACTGTTCCCCTTAGACCCTTCAAGTTTTCGCCTATCCAGGCTCAGGCTGAATTTTAAATCCACAAACAGCTGAAGAAGCCTGTTCTGCCTAAACGTCCATCATAACCGCATGTGTTCACACTGTCCCCTTTCCTGACCATTTGAAGGAGTAGGTAAAGGACTCAGATACTAGTGTAGCTTCAGGGTAAGGTTGGATAGGACAGCAGAGGTAGGATTATGTCAGAAGAAAGTCATAGAAAAATGTTTGAGAGATGTAATCAGAAAGGCTAAAAAATGATGAAAATCTCCCCATGGCTAAGATGGAGTGGGGAGTGAGGTATTTTACTAACACAAGAAAGGCCAAAAAAGAAAAAAAGTAAGAAAGGCCAAGAGTTAAGAATTAGACATAAATTTCTTCCTCCCATGGCTCAAAGTTTCATAGGTGGACTCAGTGGAGGAGCCAAATGTTACATGAGTAAATTCACTGGTTCAGAGACCTAGAACTTCTCACCCTCAGCCCAAAAACAAGTTGTGTCTAACATGCATATAGGAGGCCTGTTTGTAAACTTGAGGATTGGTCTTTGCGATACTGCAGATGAAACCCAGGGCCTTGCATGGGCTACAAGAGCCCTGTACCACTGAGCTACATATCCAGCCCAAGGATTCAGTTTTTAAATGAACTAAAACAGACGTAGAATGCAACCTTACAGAAAGTCTTCACAAGAATATTCACACACAAAAAAGAATATTCACAAAAAGTTTTAAATGTTGCATAGAAAAGTGTCCTGTAGTACACTTTGTAAACCTACGCTTTAGTAATTAAAAAAAAATAAAGCACAACAAAATTTTATAATCTAGAAGTGCATTAGTGTGAATTCAGAATTATCAGATTCTCAGATTTTTGCTCCTGGACCTCAGAAGATCCTCAGGTTCTTTATTTTTAGGATCATGATTAAATTTATCTTTTAAAAGCTCCAGATGACACAGTTCAAGTGTCTTTATAAAAGACTTAGGCTTTATGATCGCAAGCCAGTTCTACAGACTTTATATCCTCTCCACTGCACTAAAAAGTTGACCAGTACACACAGGAACATAAAGTCACTGTTACTGCATTTACACCTAGGTTGTTCTGTTTTCCTCTCCTGTTAGTCAATTATTCAGCAAGCTATGTCTATCTGCCTGTCCTTTTAACAGTCAGGCTTCAATAGCTCAATCCTAATCCCCTTTGTAATATGCATCAATTGTCTCTGAGTTAAAATACACTACAGTGACAGTCATATCATCCCTGTACATCCTTGCCAAGTCCTCCGGCAATGTCAGCATTGCTGCCAGCCTCTCTGGGTCCATTTCCCCATATTCATTGCTTCCAATGGCATGTCTGATCAGATGTGTGGCTGCATTTCGGTCAGCTGCGTGGAGCCCGCTGGCTTTCCTCTGCAGTAGTAGACTCTGCATGAGTCCCAGGTTGGTAGGTCTTTGGGCCAGGTCCGGCTTATGGCGACCTATCTCGGACAGATACCCCACTACCAGCCTCACTACATCTTCATTCCCTAACATGTCCCATAGCCCATCTGAAGCTAGCACGAGGAACTTATCCTGGGGCCTCAGCCTATGGTACGTAATCTCAGGCTTGGCAGTCAGGTAGGGTGGAGTATAGTAGTGTGAAGGAGTGAACTGGTAAATGTTGAGAGCCTCAGTATCAAAGCCCCTCTCTAGGACACTGCGCTGCAGCTCTTTACTCCATTTCAGCTGGACATCTCCAAAGGCCCTACAGGGCATGAGGACACCCAGCAACCTGTCATCCATGATGACGGTCCTGTCCTCAGACTCAGGGTGTTCCCTCTTAAGCCGGGAGAGCTCAGCCTCATTCCAGGCATTGTGGTCATGTGTAAGAGGTAGACAAGACCACATGCCATTGTCCTCCTGGACACCAAGGATGGCCCGGCAGTCACCAGCATTTGCCACATGCAAGTGAACTCCATCGACATGAGCCAGGCAAGCTGTTGCCCCAGAAAAAGCAACCTGGAGTGACAGATTCTTTGTCACCTCATCTTCCAAGGGAGCCTGGACTTCCAATGAGATATCAGAATCCAGTCTCTGGAAAGAGTACATCAATGCTTCCTCAATGCTTAGCCCCATTTCCATGTGCAGGTCAAGCAATTCCTGCCAATAGACACGGAGGTGGTCAAGATGCACTGAGGTGACATCCTTGTAGATACTGTCCCCTGGGTGCTTGAGCCATTGCAGGATAGGCAACAGAGGCTTCATATTTTCCATTGCTTCCTCCATCTGCTCCAGGGTCTGGTGGGACATCAGGGACACTGCCACATAGTAGAAGAGCCTCTCACTCACTGCTTGTGCACATGCATGACCACCATGTCCATCAAAGATACCAAACATCAGTCCCCTGGTCTGCAGGCAGGAGGCTACTCCTCGACGGTCTTCCACTGGGGAATTCGCAGCTAGCTGGTTGCTTTCAAACCGCAACACAGAATTTGGGACTCTGCTGTCCAAGTCAAAGATCTTGTGGGCTGACTCACCAGCTCGAAGCACTTCATTTACCTGCTCAGGGCTGAGCTGCAGGTGGAAATCCTCTTCCTCTGTTGATGTGTGTCTGTAGGCTTTTTGCAGAGTGAAGGTACCAGCTGGTGAACTGTTTTGTAGGGCAGGTGATGCCGAGGAAAGGAGATTCCATGTGGATTGATACCTTTTGGAGACACACCGTGAGTATAAGTGTCTTCCACCTTGTAATGTAGCAATACAGCTCCTTGCAGAAGTTAAGATCCAGTAGGACACTGTACTTGACATTCTGAAACTACGTCAGCAAGTGACAATTTATTAAACCTGAAAATTAAAGGGTTTAAGAAAGCTTCAAAATTTAAGTTTTTTTTTTCTTGGCAGGTGCTTATGCTGCTGAGCTATCTCCCTGGCCAAAATTTAATTTCTTAAAAATACTAACTTCTGAAACATTGGTTACTATCTGGAACAAAAATGATTTAAACAAGAATTGAGTAAATAGGGCTGGAGAGATGGCTCAGTGGTCTAAAGCACCTACTTGGAACAAGCTCAGCAAAGCACAGGGACCGCGGTTCGATCCCCCAGCACCACATGCCAGCCAGCCCTGCCCCCTGGTGGGCTGAGCTGGCCACACACACACACACACACACACACACTAAATAAATGTAAATAAATAAATAAAATTTTAAAAAAAATTGAGTAAACTTTTAAGTTTACATTTTAATGTAAGTAGTCTTATTCCTCACCATAGCACATAAACACATTCCAGAAATTTTAGAAAACATACATATATACACTCTGCTCTTACAGAGCCACTGAGGGCTTTATACTTTTTGTCTAGCTGATCCAGGACCCCAAAACCCCATTTTTCTCCCTTTCCCAAGTCCTATTTCTCATGAGAGCCTTCCCCTCATGTTCACCATCTCTCTAGCAGACTACAGTATTCATCTGATTCTCCACTAGCCCACAAGCTCTGTGAATTTAGGAACTGTAGCTGCTTTACAACAGCTCTCCAGTCCCCCCCTCCCCCCCGTACCTGGAAAACAATAGGGCTAAATTGTGTACCTGGCAAACAGTGACTAAAGTGGCATTTTCAGATGTCCAGAAGCACACTAAGTGTGACACTAGCTGTCTACCATATCCACAGCTGCATCAGTCAGTCTGAACTCAAGCTATGCACTAGTGAGATGAGAATACCATACACTTTTTCTTACAAAGGTTTTGTGAGGCTTAATAAAATATGATCTTTCTGAAAAAAAAAAAAACTCATTACATATATAATCCTCCATTTTCTACATATTTGTATATTAGACCTATGTTATGGTTTGTGTCTAGTTGTCCCCCCAAAGCCTCATGCAGTCATGGGGTGAGGACTTCTAGAGTTTGTGTTAACTCATGATCCACTGGGATTATGTGTGATCCAAGGCTGGGATTATGGGTCTTAGTACTGCTGGGATTACCCATAGGTGGGTAAATACTGGGAAGTACCCATAGGTGTGAGTACTTCCCCTACCCTGGGGCAGGTAATTTGTATTACAATGTAAGGTGAGAAGAGAAACTAGCTGCTTGAGCTGCTGCTTACCCCTCCCTGTGCTCTTGTTCTTTGCCACAGCCATGAAAGGTTGCCCTCTGCTATGTGCTGCTCTGCCTTGGAGCCAGCTGAGTATGGCCTGAAACCTCCAGTAACTGTGAGCTAAATAAACCTTTCCTTCCTTCATTTTGGGTATTGGGTATTTGTTCCAGCAATGAGAGAAGAGTAACTAAGACAACCTATAACCTTAAATCTGACTTTCCTCTTAAGAGCTTTTTCCTCCTTTTGGTGATAAATACATTTATAGAATATGTAATACATCATTTTCTGTGTAAACAACCACAATTTATTTTTCTGTTCTCTATTGCTGGGGATTTCAAAGTTCTTTCCCCTAATCAGCTCTTTATAAAACACCAAACTGCATGGCTTTCTGCAACAACCTTTTCCTTGCTTATATTTTAACCTACATATTTCCCGAATGAAAAGGGTGTAGATTTCTACTGCCAAACTGATTCACAGAAACTTTACTGCTGCTTCCACACGGCATGAAGGAAACAGTTTACTAATACCTTCGTTATCCTCTCGTAGACGTTTTCCTTGGGCAAAAAGAAAGAAAGAAAGAAAAGTTGTCCTACTATAACTAGCTCCTCTCCAGAACCTAGGAGGGGCCTTACCACGGTTTTAAGATTTATCAATCCTACCCGCCCCTAGTTTATCTGCAGGGATCTTGCGTGCTCCCAACCCCAGGAAGGGTTCCCTCCTCTCCTCACAGAGCTTGGAGCAGGTGGGGTCGGTCAGGGGCGCAGAAGGTTTAGAACTGGAACCGCTAGCGGCGCAACTTGAGGCCGTCCACCTCAGCCCGGACCCAAACAACACCAACAGGTCTGAACGTCAAGCCTCGGACCACAGTCCCCTAAATGAGAGCGTGGGCCTTGGCTTCCCGGGTTGAAAAAGACGGGAGTTCCTCTGGGGCGCCGAACTCACGGCGCGTTCAAAGATAAAGCAACTAATATGCGGGCTCCCCTACTCAGCCAAGTCCTGCGCTGGTCCTCCGGCCCACGTGGCGTGTGCGAGCCAGTGGAGTGTCAGAGGCCGTGGGTCCCGCGTGTCCCGCCCTCTCGCGTCACCTCATCTCCGCCCCCATCACCTGAGCCCGCGTCGCGCGGGGGACAGCTGAGCGCCAGCGAGGCCAGGTGGTGAAAGTGGCACCCGCTCCCCCGGCCAGTTTCCTTCCTTACCTCGGACCCTTCTCCTCTTCTCACCAGCTTGCACCGCTGCCAACTGGCCGGACCCTGAGTTTCGCGGCTGCGCACAGAGCGGCAGCTGCAGCCACTACGGTCTCTCTAAGCCTTGTGAAGCCGGTAGTCAAGAACAAGCTCCAGGGGAAAGAGCCCTCCTATCATCGCTGATTGGCTTATATGCGGAGGCGGACCCTTGACCGACTGGGATATTGACCAATAGATAAAGAGAAAAAGAGGCCGCACAAGGCGGGGCTGGGTGGAGCCAACACAGCCCTACACCACGACAGTCCAGGTTCTGACAGTGAGCGCTGAACCAACGGACCAGGCAGTCACGTGGCCAATTGACTGCTGCGTGCACCTTGCACTACCCAAAAGAGCGACTTCTCCAGTTCCTTATTGTGGATACATCACGGTGTGCTCTCCATTTCTGGAATCGACAACTCCAGATACCTCTCCTAAATGCCACACTCACCTTTGAGGTCCTATAGGTGCCTCAAAAATAATCTGTCCTGGATTAATTTTTCCGCCAAACCCGTTCTTCCTCCTCCCATTCCCTTACCTTGAATGGCCTCACCATCTGACCAGAGATACAAACCAAAAGACTTGGGGGAGCCAGGTGTGATTGTACCTGCTTGTAATCCCAGAACTCTGGCAGGCTCGAGAAGGAAGACTGCAAATTTGACTGCAGTCTGGGCGGTTTAGTAATTTGATGCGACCCTTTTTCAAAATTAAAAATTAAAAAAGGAGAGCTTTTTTAGTTGGAGCTCAGTGTGAGACCCTGGGTTCAATACCCAGTGCATAGGGAGGGACCTAGGAGTCACCTTCATACCTCCATCTCCCTCACTCTCTTGTCAATTGTCCAATCTCATCAACCCAGCCTCCTAAATACTTCCTCAGCCAACCTGTTCCTTGTCCCTCACCTGACCTGTCTTCAGTCAACTTCCATTTAGTCCTAACCAAACTTTCCTCTACAAGGCAGCCAAAATGAACCTCCAAAAACTCAAGCTTCTGTGCACCCTTTGGCAGCACATATGCTAAAAACTAAAATTCCTACTCTAAAGTCTTCATTGGTTCCCAGCCAACCACTCCCTTAAACTCATGATTACATTGGCCCGTCACTGAGGAGTACCACAGCTCATTAGCAGGTAGTAGGTGAGAAAAGGCAGAGAACCAGAACATTATACATTCTCTGCATCCCTTCTAAGATACTCCATTCAGAAACATTGTGAGATTCCAACCATGATTATTTTAATAGAACTCTTCTGTTTAAGCCAAATGGAATCCTTCCTTGGAGGCAGAGAAAAATGAGACAAGCAGAAAAGACCCCTTGGAGTCCTGAGATTGTGCCCTTCTGGAAGGAAGACACAATGGCTTACCTGGGCAGTTATGTCAGCTGACCTGGACTCAAGGACAACTTTGCAGTAAAAATGCTTCTGTTAGACCTGCCCTGATAATATTTATACTGCCACTCACCATTTGTCCTTTCCGGAAGTTCTAAGTAAGGACTTGAAGCATTTTTCTTCCCAGATATTGAGGGAGCTCTGTTTCAGACCCACACTAAAAGTAACTTTTACCAGAACTGATGACACAGCCTGTAGTCCCAGATATTTAGGAGGCCAAGGCAAGAGGACCCAAAATTTGAGGCTAGTCTTGGCAACATTGCAAGACTCTATGTCTCAAAAAATAAAATAAAAAGGATTAGGGATATAGCTCAGCAGTGGAGCACTTAGCATGGTCAAGGGCCTGGATTCAATTCCCAGGACCACAAAGACAAAACAAGACAAAATAAACACCTCTTAATAAATAGATGTGAGAGAATTGGACAACATACTATTTTGTTTGTGGGGTTTGGGTTTAATTTGGGTTTGGGGGGCTTTTTTAGTTTGGGTTTTTTTTTTTTTTTTTTTTTTTTTTTTGTACAAAGAGTTCATTTGAGGTTACAGGTTAACGTTCAGTTCTTCAGGACAGAGCCTGCAGAGTTTAATTGCTCCATCAGCAGGCATCTGCCCAGACTATGTGACAGGCCCTGAAGTGACCCCTAGGTTACAGATGGCTCCCACTACTTTCCTGAGGAAAATTACATCATTCTACCAAGTCTGAAACCACAGACACTTTTCAAGTTATGACATACCCCCGCTTCCAAAGTAGAATTGCACCCTTGAGAATACTGTGAGCCCAGAACTTTTACTTACAAGCTATAATTAGTCCTTTGTGGTATTGAACCCTTTAATCCCAGCACTCAGGAAGCTGAGGAAGCTCACAAGTTTGAACCTAGCCTGGGCTACATAGAGAGATCTTATCTAAAACAAATACAAACCCTCAGTAATCCAATTATGTGTGATGCCTAGTCCAAATTCCCCTTCTGGTCTTCCAAGGCTTCCTTATCTCAAGCTCTTATCTAAACAAAAAACAAAAAAAAAAAAAAAGGAGGAATGGACTTCTTTTAAGAAAGGGAAAGCACAACTCAATTGGTAGTTGAGCCTTACTCAAACAAAAAAATGTGAATTAAAGTGAGCTATGGACTTGTGTGTGTGCGTGTGTGTGTGTGCGCGCGTGTTGCTGGAACCAGGAATTCATTCATGCCAGGCAAACACTCTGCCACTGAGCCACATCTCCAGCCCTCAGCTACTGATGTTTGTCAATCTAGCAAAGATTAAAACATGATCTGGACATAGAATGTTGGTGGGCAGGCTTCCCATCTCAGTGAATAGGAATGTAAATTGAAACATATCTACCATTGACTAATTCCATAACTTTCCATTTATCCTAAAGAGGCAAAGATGAATATTACAAACTTTCTGCAACAAATGTAAAGTCAGAAGGAAAAAACCCTGCATTTAAAAAAAGATCTAGGAGAGTGACTGGAGTAGGGAGATGGATCTTTTGGATGATCCCAGAAAAGTACTCTAATTCCTTAGCTATGGAAACTTGAGATGTTATATGCTCCCACCCCAAAGCCTCATGAGCTCATAGGTGGGGCTTTTGGGAGGTTATTGGATCATAGAATGAGGTGTGATACTCATCAGTGAACTAATCTACTTATGATTTCATAGCTAAATACAATGTTGGGAAGTAAATGGGGGTCACTGGTGCATGACCCGAAGGATATACAGGTATCTCACTTCCTCCTCCCTTGCTCTCTCTACTTCCTATCTTACCTTGTGCTGGGCTATTTCTCTTCAGACATGTCCCTCTGCCTTGCTGTCTTACCTTGGAGTCACCGGACTCTGGACTCAAAGGCTACAAACCATGAGCCAAAATAAACCTCTCTTCTTTAATTTACAGGTGTTGGCTATTCTGTCCCAGTAATGAGAAAAGTAACTAAGACTCAACAATTTCTATGGTGTGTTAGGAAGACCAGATTTGAGGACGATCCTGTGTCCAGAGGACCTGAGATGGTGGTAGCCTGTTTCTTTCTATCGAACCTGCAACCTCCACCCTGACATCTAGGAGAATTTGTAAAAACTTTAGTTGTCTTTTGATTTACCAATAAGCGAAGCATTTGTCTTTGTAATGTTTTTGGTCTTGGTTTTTTGGTTTTTTTGGTGTCCTCACTTCCCCAGAGCAACTGAATGAACCCAAAGAGTCTTGCTGATCTCAGTAAAATCTGTGCCCTGAAACAGTTATCACTGCAGAGAGACCTCTGCCCAAAATAAAGTGATCTAACTTCACTGCTAAGCCAACCAGGTGACTTCCTAGTGTTGTAGGCAGCCGAGTTAGATAGAAATATTATAGGCAGTCAGACAGGACCAAGCCCTCAAGGAGACAGCATGGAAGACAAGATATGTTGTAACTGTGAGAGAGATGGATGCCCCTGCTACGGGCCAGACCTAGAGACCAAAGATCGAACAAATGCTGACCTCCCTAAAGATTAGCATCCGGGATTGATCATCACCCTGAGAAAGCCCAGAAGAATCATTAATCCAACTACTACCGGCTAGCTACAAGATAAAATCTTGTTCTATATTCATGCCCACTTGCTACATGACTCGCTTCCTCATTTGATTCTGGACTTAATTAATTTTACCTGAGCAATGATGCTTGCAATCTCATTGGATGACCATAGTTTTATCCCACCTCATGCCCACTTAAGCGAGTTGCCATGTTCTCCACCTTAGACCCACATGACTTTACGCTATAAGAGTCCCTGGAAGAGACAGCTTCCTGGGGAACACCCACTTGGGCCCCTCTCCTGTCCCTTTCTTGGACAGGAGCTTTCTTTCCTCCAATAAATATATTTTGCTCATAACCTCCATTTGTTCCTCAAATTCATTCTTCGGTTGTACAGAACATGAACTCATCCCAGGTATTTTTCAGGTTGGGAGTTTCATTTTTTCCCCTATATCACTAGCACTGTCCTCTCTCAAGTTGACCACACTTATGGGTACGTACACAGTCCTCCCCTCCCAGAGACCCCTTTCCTTCAGCAGGAATGACTGCTAATCCCTGATCTTGTGCTAGTAACAAATTCTTAGGGATTTGTGAAAAGTACAAGTCTTGCCTCAGCCCCTGTGACAGTCTGGATCTAATACACCCTCCATGCCAGGCAGAGTGGTGCATGCCTGTAGTCCTAGCTCTCCAGAAGCTAAGGCAGGAGGAGCACCCCAATTCTGAGGTCAGCCTAGACTATATAGTGAGATCAAGGCTAGTCTAAGTTATATAACAAGACCCCATTTCAAAAAAACCTCACATAAACAAGCAAATGTGCTCCAAAGGCTACGTG